TCATAGCAAGAAAATAGCTAACTAGATTGCCATTTCTTGTGTGGAAGTTCCAAGATTTTTAACTTAACACTAAAATAGTGACAGATAAATTTAATGGACTACTGAAAAATTGTACTTTTGGAGTATCAATTTTTCTTGAAGTACAGGCTGAAACTTTGGTAAACCAGCTTAATATTCAGGATCAGTGCTTTCAGACAGTTGTAGATTTGGTTCATACCGATTTTTACATAATGAAATGTTTAAAGATTTGGAGGTACACACAATTGCTGTAAGAATCCTCTAATTGTGAACTTACTTGAAGGACTTGGCTATCAGAAGTTAAATTTTATTTGTATTGTATTGGTGTATGCCTGCTATACTTTTGAAGGCTGACTTATCATATATATTTTTTTTAACTAGGTTCCAATATCATTCGTGGATCGTGTTTACGGTGAATCCAAGTTGGGAGGAAATGAAATAGTCTCTTTCTTGAAAGGATTATTGACTCTTTTTGCTACTACATAAAAAGAAAGTTATTCATTATACTTATCATGTTGATTCATTTAAACATAAAAGAAGCCTGGTTGCTGATTTTTATAAAATGTACTCTTAGAGCATAAATCATAAGGTAAGGTAAATTTCATACCAATCTTTTTTCTGAGGAAACTACATTTTATATGTCAAATTAAATTAGAAAAACGAGCAGTGTTCTCAATTTTCACTTGCATTTTGCTGTATTAAGACTTGTAAATAAATGTATTTGGTTTTTTTTTTTTTTATCCCAGAAAATATTGCTTTCATTAGAATATGAGTGCAGAATTTCTTACATGGGGAAGATTTTGAAGTATATAAAAACTGGATTCATAGCTCTTTGTAATAGTGTCAGAAGTAAGAAAAATGTTAATTTTATTCATGAAATATATATGGCTGTTTCTGTATGAATGAACAAGTAGACACATCTGCCCCTTCTTAAAAAATGTATCTCAAATTTCTTAGATAAAATAATATATCCAGATCACAATTTTAGAATTTGGCCCTTTGTAGCTGTTGTGTTGATGAAGCATTACATCTGTCAAAGCAAGTCTATTTAAAATACATACTGTGAATTGGAAACTTGACATCAGTTGATGGCATAGTTTTTTTCTCCCCTATCCTGAGCAGTAGCTTCTATCAGTAAGAAAAGAATACTGATGACATATTAAGGTATCGATATTTTAATGACTTTTAAGACTTAGCTGCTATAGCACTTTTTAAACATCTTACTCTTACTAAGCTGTAAGTGTTCTGCCAGGTAAATTGCAGGCTAAGTTGTTCCTGAAAGCCAGCACGAATGTTCTGTGTACCTATCTTGTCTAACCTGGGTGTTTCAAAAACACGAAATTTCTAACTGTAGTATAGCTTATGGAACATACAGTATCTTTTAAGTTTGCAGGAAGTCATACTTTGAGCAAATAAGCTTAGAAACGAGTTGACTTGCAGATAAGAGACATCTCTAAGTTATTTAACAAGCATATTTATTGAACTGTATTCCTAATTACATTTTCCTGGCTTAATTTGGCTGCTAAAGAAACTCAGAGTCTGATTTTTCCATTGCATTTCTAACAGATACTACCAGAAATTAATACCAGGACATAAAACCTTTGGTGTCATTTTGAACATTACCTATTCCCATAATTGAATCCATAGGACACATTCCAATAGGGCCTCTATTATTCTGTTTCCCTTTTACACGGAGCTATGTAGCCAGCCAGCACACTACAGACCCACCTCCCTTGGGGAAGTGATGTCTCTTCGTCGTTAATAACAACTAGAAAGCTCATCACTGTTGGATGTAAAATTAGTTTTAAGCTAATGAAACACCGTACTTGCTGTTGTGGTTGAATGTTTAGAATCTCTTCTACTTCATCTAAACCCAGAGTTTTTATTGTCAGGTCTGTGGAGCAGAGATGAAGTAACTACCTCAGAACTCACTAGAGTAGATAGCTATCTTTTGCCTTTTTAATCTTTTTGGTTCTTACACCCACAGTCATTACAACACTGTCACTATTGGAATTTATAGTAAAGAAAGTATTTGAGCAATGAAGACTTTTCATTACTTAGAAGTTATTTAGAAAATCTGGACTATTTAGATGCATTTTTTTTTTTTTAGTAAATATGAGCACTAAAATATTCTTAAACATTTACATGTCAATCTAGCATCTCTTTTTACTTTGTAAATTAGGCCAAGGACGAAATCCAGATGTTTTCCCTTTGTATCTGTATTATCACTGTATGAAATCTAAGTATATCTAAGAAAAACTAAACTTGGGATAAAATTATTTTGCTTATTTGATGGTAGCTTTTGCCTGTATTCTGCAACATGTAATTAGGTTTTTCATCTCTGTTTCTCTAAATCAGATGCTTTGGCGCCCCTCCCCCGCCCCCCCCTTTTTTTTTTTTTTTCTTTTTTTTTTTTTTTTTTTTTACTTTTCCAGCTATTGTTTTCCCTTGAAACATTGATTGGGCTTTTAAAGATATATTTTATTACAATTTCGGAGATGGGGTTGGATGAAATGGCTTGTTTAAGCCCGCTAACTGAAGTCTTCGACATTGAGCTATATATAACCACAATTTGTACTATTTTGAATTACGTGAGAATCTTTTGAGATGTTAGGTATGGTTTGAAACTATTTTAACTTGAAATTTAGAGAAACAGCCCAAGATCAACGTACTTACAGAGCAGACCTTAAGAGAACAGGCTTGGTTAAACCTTCATGATTGGTATTCGTTACTCTCCAGGCTGTTTAGCCAAGGACATACATACTCTCAGATGCACTCTGCTATGAAAGGTGGGTTCAGAAATGTTGACATGATGTGTTGGTTGGGGTTGACCTAAATCGAGAGGCAGACTGCCCGTGTGCCATCCAGATTGTGGTCACCCTAAAAGTGTCCCCGAGACTACAGTTGGCATAGTCATTGAGCATCTTGGGGAGGCCCGTTGGCAACACCCCTTCTCATCTTCAGGCTTCACCAGTCCGGTGGCCTCAACGCGCTAGGGATCCCGTTTGTTTTCTTCAGGCCAAAGAGAAGAGCCCATCACCGACCCGGAAGAATGTCCAGTCCCAGGGCGGCAGCCGGCCTTCTGTAAGACGCAGCCCCTGCCCACCGAGTAGCCCACCCCACCAGAACGGAGCCAGGCCTCCGAGGGCCTGTGTCTCCTCTCCAGTCGGTGTGTGAAGCACGAGGCCCTCACGCCTCATTTAAGGCAGGAGGCATCGCGCACGGCCGGCCAGGTGCCCCTGCCCTTCCCGCGGCCACCGGGCCCGTGAGAGCGCGGGCCTCCCGGCACGTGGAGCCGCCGGGCTGCCCGCACGCCCCCTCCCGCCAGATGTAGTCCAGGCCCAGCTGGGCCCGCGCAGGGATCCCCAGCACGGCCACCTGACTGAGTGCAGGGCGTGCTGCGGCCCGCTGCTTGTGCCTCCGCCGCCGGCGCTGCGGCCGGAGGAAGGCGCCCGCCGTGCACACGGGCCCTGGAAGCGCACTGCGGCCATTATCCGCGGCGCCTCCTAGTGGGTCAATGGCAAATCCTCTTGGTTCTCGCGAGAGCTCCCCCTCAGAGGGGATTATATAATTTCTCTTAGGTGGGGGTGCTGGTGCCACCCTCCCTCCAAAAAAGTTTGGTGCAAGCACAAGTGGGAGTGAGACAGTTGTTCCTGGGGGACATGGGGGGAAGGGGTAAAGCCCCCCACTGCCCCCCCTACTTAGCTGGACAATGAGTCCTCTTATGCTAATGAGGTATTTACGTCACTTCCGCTCTTTCTCGGCCGCCATTTTGGCTAGGGCAGGTTCGGGGACTCGCTCCGAGGCGCTTGTATTGTCTGCTGAGGGGAGACGCGGGATCAGCCCCCTCCCCCGCCCGTTGCCGCCGCCGCCTCCGCCGGCCCGGTCTCCCCTCCGCCGCCCGCCGGGATCCATGAGCTGAACCCCCCCCCCCCCCCCCGGCCGCCGCCATCTTGTGCCCCCTCCCCCTCCCGCGGGCAGCGCTAAGGGGGATTTTGGCGTCTCCTCAGACACAGCTCCCTCTCTCGGTCCCCGCTGCTGAGGAGCGAGAGGAGCGCGGCCGCCGCCGCCGCCCGCCTGCCCGCGCCGGTGAAGCCGCCTCTCCCACACCCTCCGTCTCCTCCCTCCGCCCCTCCTTTGTCTGCACCGCTCGACG